TGATGTTATATATAACTTAACTGTGATTTTTAAATATTTGTAACTAAAACTTCAAGTTTAGTCGACTGGGTACGTATGTCTCGACATATATGTTAATCTACCATTATGAAAATGTAAATGTGCATATTTATTATATTTTTGTTGGAATATTTATAAATTATGTGATATAAGTTTAATATGTAATATACTGATTTAATATAGGATGTATGTTTAGCAAAATAATGTGTATTCGTATATTTAAATTTGTATTGTTTTATATTGTTAATGTTTAAGTTTTTAAATCTAACTTGTATTGGTTAGAGCTTATTTAATGTTCTAAATATACACTAAAATTTTACATTAAATAATTAGTAAAATATGACAATTATAACTGTAATTTGATCTACTATATAATCTGCCTCTTGATAATGAAGGTATCTTCTTCCCTCAAACGACGCTGGAGGTCGTCGGATGTTCAAGATTTTAATGGCCTACGTTGGAGGTCAAAGCGGATCTCCAGGGCTGATGCTTTTTCGTATAGACACTGACATTTCTCGATTTCACTAAGACTCCCACTGGTTAGATGGCTTGTCTGAGATGGTGCTACGGGGTTACCACGCGTCTTTATATCTCAACAGGTCGTTGTTATGTTCGAGTCCTAGAAATGTCTGGACAGCAAGTAGGTTTCTTTTTTTTTTTGGTGTGAATGTTAAAGAGCAAATAGGTTTCTTCAAGGACATTACCGAGGGTAAACCATTCCCTATGCTTTCTGGTTATCAATCATGCGATTCTAGCATTACGGTTACTACATAAATCTCATGGATGTTCGATGGTTTCTCCCTGGCAACTAATTCTTGCTCTTTGGTCTTCTTGTCTTATTTTCTTTTTATTTTGTTTCATTTATGCTTCTGAATAAAAATTATGATGTTGCCCATTTGATCAAATAATATATTTTTAACTTATTTTTACTATATTTCTTCAAGTGTTTGGGCGTAAATATTAATATTTTTAATGCTGAATTTATTCAGTAAGTAAAATAAAATGAAAAAGCTCGTGGTTATACCTTTTCAAGCAAGCTCTAAACAATTGCAACCTTCTGACTACGGCTAATGGATTTTCTACATCCGTTCACATGGTATGTGGATTTCATTGTGCGACCATTTGATGAGTTAATTTTGGGAGATTTAAATGATTAGTTTATTGACTTTACAATCACTATGTTATATTTTTGTATGTTTAGTCTCTTAGGGCATTTCCAACCCATGACACTATTTTAGTGTCAAAATTACACTATTATAGTGTAGTTTTAGCATTAAATGTTTTCGGTTCTCCAACGACAACACCAAATATTACACTAAAAAGTATATTTTTCATTATTATATTATCAAACAAGATTTTCTTATTTTTTAATAGTTTAGTTAAACATTTATTATTTATAACTAAAAATATTAACTAATATTAAAATTGTAATTAAAAATAATCTTTCTAATACACCTTTATAACAAACATTTCTAATTCACATTAAAATATGTTATATAAAACAAACTCTTACATTAAAAAATTAAAAACACATAACAAAAGCTAAATTACATTATACTAAAATTAAGAATTAGAATATTCAGACCACAAATGCTCAATCAAGTCATTTTGGAGTTCGAAATGAGATTCTCGATCTTTGATTTGCTTATGACGAGCTAAAAATTCTTGAAATAAAGCATCATCAGCACCAGTCATCTCAACTCTGTATTCGGAACTTAAGTATATTCTTCAATTGCTGCATTGTATCACGTTCATCTTCAATAATCATATTATGCATTATGATACAGCTTGTCATTATATCATGTAGCACTATCTTATTCCATAATCGCGAGGTCCATCTACAATTGCAAATCTTGATTGTAATACTCCAAAAGCACGCTCCACGTCTTTTCTGCATGGTTCTTGTTTCATTGCAAATAATTTTTTTTGAGACCACTTAGATCATGGATTATTTGAACAAGAGTGGACCATTTTAGATATATACCATCAGCTAGGTAAGAACCCATATTATAAATTGTTTCCATTAATAACATAATTTTCCAGTGGAGCAGTACCTTCGCCTAGATTAGAGAAAAGATGAGATGTCTCTAGCACATTAATATCGTTATTAGATCCTGGTAGACCAAAATATGCATGCCAAATCCGAAGATCATAATCAGCTACAACCTCTAGAATAATGGTAGGAGAACCACTACGACCAGCATATTGTCTCCCCCCCCCCCAAAGCAGTTGGGCCGTTTTTCCATTTCCAATGCATACAATCTAAACTACCCAACATACCTAGGAATCCTCGGCATTCACCAATATGAAATAGCCGTGCAACATCATTAGCGTCCGGTGATCGAAGATAACGGCCTCCAAATACCTCAACAATTGCACGACAGAAGCGTTTTAAACTTTCCAACGCGGTCAACTCTCCTATTTTGATATACTCATCGGTCGAATCCGCGGGTAAACCGTATGCCAACATCCGAAACGCTGCAGTTACTTTTTGCAAACAAGACAACCCAAGCCTTCCAATTCCATCTCTTCGTTGGACAAAATAGTTGTCATGTCTTTGTATAGCTTCATAAATACGAAGAAACAAAGAACGACTCATCCGAAATCTTTGCCGAAACATCGTCTCCAGAAACAAAGGATTCTCAGCAAAGTAATCGTTAAAGAGATTACATGAAACATTCTCCCGATCACGGTTGATAACTATATGCACAGGAATAGACCCTCCATGTGATCCCTCGTTAAAAAGATTTTTAGTGATTAGAAAATTATTATTTGCAGTAATTTGACAAACTACTTGCTTTTCAAGATCTTCGTAATAATCATTTTCTGAAGATGAGGAAGAAGAAGAAGAAGATATATGAGATGAACTACCAAAGGTAAAATTCATGTTTTAGTAAAAGAAATTTTAGATGATGGTCTTCTTCTTAAAACATGATAGACAATTTATAGGCACTTATGTCTTAGGTCCATAACAACACTTACAAAAGACAAATCAATCTAAGCCCTTGTTTTTTTTTTTTTTTTTTTTTTTATTGCCAAGATCTAGCTATTACATTCACTTGTCATTTTATATTTATCCCCACAATTACATCAATAGAAAAACATTCATTATAAGCCATTGATATTTTTGACAAAGATCTAACTATTACATTCACTTGTTATTTCAGCTCATATCTCCATGTCCACATTAATACAAAAAGACAAATCATTCTAAGCCAATAATTTTTTTTTTGCAATGACTTAATCATTTCATTCATTAGTAATTTCATCTTTTATCATCAAGACTACATTGATACAAAAAAAAAATAATCCAATATAACACATTGATATTTTTGACAAAGATCTAACTATTGCATTCACTTGTCATTTAATCTCTTATTTCCATATCCACACTAATTTAAAAACAAAAATCAATCTAAACCAATTTTTTTTTTTTTGCAAAGATTTAGTTATTGCATTCACTAAACATTTCATCTTTATCATCATGACTTTATTAATACAAAAAATAATTCAATATAAGCTATATATGGTTTTCATAAAGATCTAACCATTGCATTCACTTGTCATTTCTTTTCTTATTTCCATAACTAAAAAGACAAATAGATTTAAGCATTTTTTCCCAAGAACTAGTAATTACATTCACTAGTCATTTTATCATTTATTCCCATGACTACATTAATTCCCAAAAAAAATCAGTCAAGCATTTGTCATGTATTTGTCAAAGATATCTTTTGCATTCACTAGTCACTTCATCTTTTATCCTCATGACAATATTAATAAAAATAATAATTCAATATAAGCCATTGATGTTTTTGATAAAGATCTAAAATTGCATTCACTTGTCATTGCTTCTCTTATTTCTACTAGATCCTTTCTCCGCGCTACGCGCAGATAATATATTTAAATTTGTTATATTTATCATTTTTATTTGTATGTGAATTTTTTTATATTTAATTTTATTTAACTAATTTTTAAATTTGATTTTTTTATATTTTTAGTTTGAAGTAAGTATTTGAATATAATTCATTGGTAATGGGTGAATTAGTTATATAATTATCTTAAATATACCATGAAATTTATACTATTGTGAAATATGTTTCTATTATATGTAACACAATTAACTAATAAAATATGAAGAATCAAGTTCGAGATTTTAGATTTATGTAGAAAATATAACTATGTATAGAATATAAATTATCTTAGTTTAAAAGATCGGAATCTCAACTCGAATAAATTCACGAAAAAAGTACTCCAATAACTTACTTAAAATATAAAACTCCCTTCCAAGAAAGCGTACTTAATAATATTTTTTTACGTGTAATAGTTGAAAACCGACAATTGAATATCTATCTAGAATATTATTTTAATATATCTCATGGTAAAATATAATTGTAACAAACAAATTGTAAATTTTGTAATATTACATGAATTAGAAATCCTTAAAATCTAAAATATATTTTATTAACATATATATTTTGTTTTCATTTATTAATTTGAAATTATAAAATATTTCTTTAGTTTTATTTGTAATTAATTTATTAATAATTTAGTTTTTAAGTAAATTTAAAATTATCAAGAATATGATATATTTAAATATATCCAAATATGATGTCTCATTTTTATTTGTGTTTGCGTTGAGCATACTTAATTTGTAGTTTGTATATTTAATAGCACCTTGTTGTGTGCCGTTTTATGTTTTTAATAAATGTGTTGTCATTTCATTTTTATAACTACGAACACGGTTTTTTTAGTGATCAGTGATAATGTATTTTTAACATTATGTATTATATTTTATCGTATATTTTTTATTTAGATTTTTCCAATCTTCATGCTGTCATTTATTTTAGAATTTGTTTAATTAGGTAATAGGTTTAAAGATGTAAATACAATTGTGTATGTTGTAAATTTAGACTTTTTAGTGTAACTGAGCACTATCAGTTATGAAAATTATATTATAATTTTATTTTAGTAAATCTTTTTTTTTATTGACATGACTCTGTTTGCACTATCTCTGCTACTTTCTGCTTCAGTCTTGCTACATGAGCTTCAGTGAGAGCTATCTCCTCAAGCTCAGCCCTCGTCTTCACATTTATTGTGATGTTAGAACCAAGGAGAGAGCAAGAGATTAAACCGTACAACAGAAAAAAACAAAAAATAAAACTGATTTCTCAAGATGAAGTGTATACTGACTTTAGAATCCGCAGCTTGTGAGCTAAAGTTTCCACAAAAAAATGCTAAGACCAACTTCAAGAGCGGATCTGAGGTCTCTCTCAGCTTGTAGTTGCTCTTGTAATCTCCCAACCTGAAAATTTCATGGCAAGCTGGGTCAGCAAAATAATAGAAACACAATAATCTCAAGAGAAGGTTCATACATCTTGTTCAAGTGCCAAACGACGTTCGTTCAAAGCCTGCTACCTTCTCTCCAAGCTAGCTTGTAATATAAAAGTGACTGAAAGATTTTTCATTACTAAATGGCCATCAGACTGTGTCCTATGAACATCGATTTTATTTTCCATGGGATCAGAAGTATCGGGTAAGGTCTTGCTGGGAGAAACTTCTCTCCCATCTTCCTTTTCCTGTTTCAGATCTAAGTTTCTATCAACTTCCCTCTGATTATTTAAAGAGCCAGTGTCCCCATTAGAACCACCATCAGGATTCAGATCAACCTCTGAGCCAGAAAGAAGAGAGTTTGTCCCAGCATTCATCTCAGGGAGCGTCTGGCTCTTAGCCAAGGATGGCTTCTCATTTTCTTCTCACTTTGTGTCATCACTACTCTCAAGGTTCTGTAAAGTTGATGCATTAATCAAGCGATTATCCCACATATATGACTGAAATATCAGTTGTCTGCGAAGCCGGTATAGCTCAAGAATGTCCACAAGAGGTTGGCCTTCCTTCACCTCCCTGTGCAACATCCTTTGCATATTCTCCTGGAAGAAACGTGAGAACAATTTATCTTGCACCACTGAGTTCTACATACAGAGCATAATTTATTACCTCAAATTCCACTTTCTCTCTTTGCAGCATTTCTTTGAGTTCACCAATTCGACGCCTAAAACCTTTCACTGCAATTTTACTAATAGCATTTAATACTTCAGAAAACAGAAGCTCTGCTCTCTCTTCAACCTGCTTGATAAAAAATGGAGATATTATTGTATCTAAAGATTCATAAAGATATAAAACTTTCAGTGTCATAATTCATCCTTAGTCGCATCATTCTTGCTTTGCTTAGCTTTAAGTTTGTCAACGACATCATCAAGAGGAGGATCTCCAGGTCTTCGGAACTCTTGTTTCCCTATAGTAATCCCATAAGCCTCTTCTTGGCTCAGCACTAACTCCCTTAGCTAAAAAAGAGAAATAATTGTCAAGAATCTCTCTAAACAAAGTTTACAACTTTATGTTATTATCATTGTACTTCGTCCATCTCATAGCAATGTCCACCACCATATCCTGTGCACTGAAAGTTGAAACCAAGCATACAAAAGTCACAATTTTTAACAAACCAAACAATCAAAAGTCAACATTTTTAACAATCTAAACAAACCAAAGTCACGTTTTTAAGAAACCAAAGTCACAATTTTTAACCGCACACCTGAACCGATTCCTAGTTTCGTTTAGCTTAGTACGTTGAACGCCTAGCCGGAGCTTGACGAAACCGATCATTACTTGATTAGTTTATTTTCTTCTTCGTACCTGACAATAATCTCTTATAGAACTTGAATCAAGCTTGACAGAAATGTGAAGGATTACCAAACCTGGATTTTCTAGGAAAGGGAAAGCTGCTGAAACATGACGAGTCACTGAAGAAGACATTCTGCAGATGATGAAAAAAACTTCTGTTTTGCTACACCTACATGAAGAAAGTCAAAATAAAAAGTAGAAGAAATGCTGAAACGTCAAGGAATCTCTTGGTAGATCCAAGCATCTAGTGTAGCAACCCTAAAACGTTATTAGACTAACCACATCATAACCACAACCAAAAAAATCAAGAGAGAGAGAGGTTATGATCGCAGCTAATCTGACGAAAGAACTATAATCTCAGGCATCGCGGGAGAAGGACACTTTGATGGAAAACAGAAGCGAGAGAGATGAGGAACAGAGGCAGTAGAGAAAGCAAAAAGAAACCATAAAGGAAACTAAATGGAGAAGAGAAGTGGAGGGTGTATTGGTAAGATTAGAGATACAGAATCAGAGAATAGGGAGATCAAAGGATACACGATTAGTCGGGTTGAAATTAGGGTTTGAAGGAAACCGGAAATGAATTTCTTGTCTATGAAGAAGACGACTACGCAGATCGATTTGGGCTCCAGTCAACCCATGAGAACTCAGCGAGATGAGTCGTAAAAAAATTTACGCCCACCCGAGCAGGAAAGCCATTGTCGTGGCGAAAGGTTATTATGTGATTGGTCAAATATAATTGAGGACATGGACACCCTTATGGAGCTTGTTATTCCCCTTTTAATAGTGTTTGATAACTAAAAAGACATATAAATTTAAGCCATTGTTTTTTTTCCAAGAACTAGCAATTGCATTCACTAGTCATTTTATCTTTTACTAGGGTTTCGCCCGTCCTACGGGCGGGTTTCTGTGGATTTTTTTGTGTTTTTTTGTTGTATTAGTTGTTTTTTTTTTGTTTCATTCTTTAGGTATTAGATGCTGTTTTGTATAGTGGATTGGTTTATTTTTAAGTATTTTAACGGTTCTTATATTTTTAGATCCGAGATAACTGAATCAAACCAGAACCGAACCGAGAGCAGAACTGGTTCTTGATTTTGTAATAATATTAATTTATATACATATAATATAACCAAATTTATGCTTTTTATTTAAATATCTATTAGAAGTATTGAAATTTACTTTAAGATAACTATATAATTAAAAATTATCCGGACTATGTGTAGTATACAGATAATTTTATCCAAATATCCAATATCTGAAATTTGTGTCTAAATTGTTCTAATAATTAGCTAATGTATCCTAAATAATTGATAATTTATCCAAATTACCCGAACCTGTACCATAACTGGAACTAATTGAGAATTAATTTTTCTAGATTTTTTCTTGACACCTAATTTTGCTATCCGAACCGAACCAAATCTGAATATAGTGTACCAAACCGAACCAAAAAATAGTTGATGTAGTAATTTTTTCCTCTAACCACTTACCCGTACTATTTGAAACCCGAAATATCCGAACGGAACCGAACCGATACCTGAAATGCCTCGTTTAATTGCTAAACCGTAAATCTTATTTAAATTGCATTCAATCTGGTATTTTTTTTCTTTTTTCAACAGAAAGTTGGTTCACGGATTTGTCTTGTTTGCATTTGATTTTTATTCTGTTGTGTATATTAGGAGATAATAATTGGGCAAGATATTGGGCTTAGATAACAATAATGAGTAAATAGTTTTTGACTTTAAAAAGTTAAAATAACAAATCTGTCTGTAATTAGACGTAGTCTTCTTCTCCGTCAATGACCGGCAAATTGAACGCTGATATCATCCGAGTGACTCACCGGCGGTGATAAACAATCCTCTGTTTCCAAGCCTCCTATCTGCACCGTATGTTATCAATCTTTTAATTGATTTTTTTTTTCTAAGTGTTCGTACAATTTTTTTAATATATTGAACTTTTACCTCATCTTGACGGATGTTGTTGAATATCTCTCTGTAGACTATATTGGTGGTTCCCTTTTCACCATTTTCTCCTGTAGTTTCATCAAGTATCTTGAGGCCTGTTGGAGAAGTCACACGGGATAAAGCCACGTAAAGCTGTCTATGGCTGAAGACGGATCGGGGCAAATACAGAGCTAAGTTTAGGAAAGACGCTCTGGTTTAGGAAAGCGAAGAAGAAAAAAATAGGGTTCCTAAACTCTCATGGGCCTTTAACTTATTAATCCCAAACGTAAACGATGAAACAAAAGCCAAGGACGATGAAACAAAAGCCAAACCTTGTTCGTGTTAAACAGCTGACGTGGAGGCCTGACATTGCTTCTCAAAAACGGGTGACGTGGAAGCATAGGTGAAGAGAAACTGCTCCTTTATATATATAGATTCTCATGACTACATTAATTCTAAAAAATCAGTCAAGCAATTGTCATGTATTTGTCAAAGACACCTTCTGCATTCACTAATCATTACATCTTTTATCCTCATGACTATATTTCTACAAAAAAAAAAAATCAATATAAGCCATTGATGTTTTTGATAAAGATCTAACCATTGCATTCACTTGTCATTTCATCTCTTATTTCCATAACTAAAAAGGACAAATAGATTTAAGCATTGTTTTTTTTCCAAGAACTAGTAATTGCATTCACTAGTCATTTTATTATTTATTCCCATGACTACATTAATTCCCAAAAAAATCAGTCAAGCAATTGTCATGTATTTGTCAAAGATACCTTTTACATTCACTAGTCATTTCATCTTTTATCCTCATGACTATATTTCTACAAAAAAGAATTCAGTATAAGCCATTGATGTATTTGATAAAGATCTAACCATTGCATTCACTTGTCATTTCATCTCTTCTTTCCATAACTAAAAAAGACATGTAGATTTAAGCCATTTTTCCCCCCAAAAACTAGCAATTGCATTCACTAATCATTTTAACTTTTATTCCCATAACTACAATAATTTCAATAAAATTTCAGTCAAGCAATTGTCATGTATTTGTCAAAGATTACTATTTCATTCTCTAGTCATTTCTTCTCTTATCCCCATAACTATATTAATACAATAAAAGATAATAATTAGTAAAAGTAATTCATTTTGTGACAAAGATTTAGATTATTGCATTCACTTGTCACATCTTCTCTTATATCCATAACTACATTAATATAAAAAAAAGACAAAACTATATAAACTATTTTTTTCTTCCAAAATCTTGGTCATTGCGTTCATTTTTCATTTCATCTCTTATCTTCATAATTGCATTAATATAAAAAGACAAACCAATTTAAGTTATTGGTTTTTTTTGTTAAAATCTAGCAATTCCATTCACTAGTCATTTCATCTCATATATCCATTTCCACATTATTACATAAAGACAAACAAATCTAAACCCTTGATTTTTTCTTTACTTTTCTATATAAATGGATACTGAACTTGAATCATCAAACACCTTCAACTAATACTTTTCCTAAAATGCTTCAAGTCGATCTTTGTCATATTTCATTGAAGAAGATATGCACTTATGTCATGTATATCTTGATGTTTCTTAAAATCCAATCATAGGAATAAATCAATTAAGAGATCAGTTTTAGGCAAGAGTTGAAAATGAATGTGAGAAGTCAAAAATTTCCACTCATCAATCAAGACCAAGAAGATCTTTACAAACTCGAATGACATCAATTTTATCGGCGGTCTCGAAGCTAAGGGGGTGTATTAATCAAATTTAAAATAAGAATCCAAATGGTACTTCAGAACAAGACATTGTAAGTATATATACTAACTTCTGATATTTATTTTTATATGTTAATAAGTTTATTGTATCTACTTGATTATTTAACTTTTTTTCTTATCAATTTTTAATCAGCTAAACTAAGAAAAGATGTTGCTCATGCAAGATATCAATTACAGTAGAGGATTCAAATTCAATGATATATGGCCAATCCTTAAAGGCATAGAGAAATTTGCAAATGACAACAACAATGCATCTAGATCATTCGAAGGAGAAGGTTGCAATGTTACATCATCTCCATCATTTTCAATTGATCTTGAGTCATTTCCATATCCTGGTCTGAATTCATTTGATTTAAATATGAATTCCGAAGAAGCCACTTCTAATTTATCTCCAAGACTGATGGGTATGTAAAAAGCTAAGAACAAACTACAATCTGAGGAGCATTTTAAACCAATGATGGAGCAAAATGATAAACTAATTAAAGCTATTACTGAAGGCACATCTGAAAGAAATGAAATTCAGAGACAAAAGGTTGAGGTAGCAAAAATGAAAGAATAGAACAAAATATTGTTCACTGATTTCAACTCTATAGCTGATCCAGCGTGTCGTATGTATATTGAAAATGAGAGAAACAAAAATTTGAAGAAAAGAACACAAACAAACCAAATCGAAGAACACGAAGAAGGCTCTCAATACCAATGTCATGGATCTCAATATCAAGCATCTCAAGTTCAAGGAGAATAAGCGCAAAGGGAACAAGTTCCCAGTGAAGATCAAATATCACCAAATGATTTAGAAACTTTTACTCCATATTCTAGTTAGTTTAATGATATGAATAATAATTTTCCTAATTATTAGATATGTATTTAGTCTTATTTTAAAAAATTATCTGATGCATGCAACTTTCATCCTTTTGTTTTTTTAGTTTTTAATTTTGTAATTTAAATTTTCAGTGTTTAAATTAAAACTTTGTTATGTATTTTTAACTACTTTTTATTTTTTCATATAAATTAGTATTATATATTAAATAAACTTAAATGATAACAAAACAAAAATGGCATAATAAGATAAATGAAATAAAATAAAATATAGTTAGAAAATATATTTTTTTTTTGCCATCAATTTTGTTAATATTAAAAACGGGCCACAACTCAAAGGAAAAAACTCTTACAAATCAGAAACAAAAAGTCCAAAAAACAAACAAGTCCTAGCCCAGGAAATATCCAACTCTAAGAAAACCCTAGACATAAAAACCCTAGCTATTGAAACATCATCGACGGCGTACGCGTCACACGGGCCCCACGTCGCCACCGCCGAGAGCACAACGCCGAAAGCTACACGGGGGTTCACCGGCTCCTGCTATCTCGATTCCTTTCCTTAACTTCTGTCAAACGGAGAGCTTCATCAGAAACCGCTTGAGATCTCATCCATGACCAAAAGCCATCACACCCAAAAGCCTACCGCTCCATCAGCCACACCACAGACCCATACGTCTGCTCATCTAAACCCTCAGAGAGCTTACAATCGACCTAAATCGAGATCTCATCCGAGCCGAGAAACCATCAACCACAAATCTTCAACCGAAAAACACCAAACCGCCATCGATCGAAGGGTACTGCGACGCGGGAACATAAGCCGACCGTCCACCTTCATAGAAACGGAGCTACAGCGGAAATCAAAACCGAGCGGCCATCGTAAGGAAGACGCGTCGCCGGTAGCAAAAAGAACGCACAAGATTGACTAACAACATACTAACAACAAAACCCAGCCGATGACATGGTAAAGGAAACCCACCGTCGTCGTCGGCCGGAAATAACTTCTCGACGAGATCTATTTTCTCACTCTACTTTCTCGCGACTTTTTTGAATTCTATATTTTTGAATGTATCTATCTATCTATATATATAAAATACACTTTCTCCCTCAAGTGTCACATCATTAAATAGTGAAGGGAGAAAGTGACATGTGTTTGACCGATAAAACAATGTATCGGTTTGGTTAGTGGGTTTATCGCAAGTGTATTTAATAAATGGGTCTGATAATAATTATTTGGGCTGACAATAAATACAAATTTGGCCCGTATAACACCTTTCTCCAGTGGAAGCCGCTGTCGTGTTGATGTTCTCACCTCGAAGGGGAAACTAACAACGTTACGTAACTTGACTCGATTCAACCACTGCCATTAATGTCTTCTTAATTCCATGTTACCACTCTTTCTACCATTTTTTATTCAATGAATCTTACTTTGCTTTCGGTGAATCTGATGATATAAATAGGTGAGTCTTGATCCTGTAAACTTCATCCTTTTCATTCCTACTAATCATAATTAATCGTTTAACACTTTCGTTGACCAGAATGGTGAACTCCTCTTTCCTCCTCCCTGACTTCCACTTCAAATCTGGGCGTTCCAGCCACTTTTTGATTAGCAACGTTTTCAGCCATCGAATTTCGTTTGCATTAACGGTGAGTTTCAGTTACTGATTTTTGACGGAGCGCATGCATAGAGGAATTTCTTATCGTTGTCCCAAAAAAAAATAGTGGTTTCTTATCGTTCTCTAGACGATGATTCTGATCTCTGGGAGGTTTCGGTGAAGAAGAAATTAAAAAACACCCCAACCAGTAAGAATTGATCTCTAGGATTTCGCTCACTCGCTTAGCTTAGTTTATTGAAAGAATAGACATTGTTCTTTGATTTGATTTCTGGATTGTTCTTAGTTTTGTTTATGTTTTTTCTTGGTTTTGATCCATTGTGATTAAAGAAACAATTCGATTATGTTCTTCACATTTCAGAGTCTGACCTTGGAAACTGAATCTCTTATGGCTGAGTTGGATTACATCATGTTGCAGTTCTTGGATATTGATGTCATCATATCTATCAGCAGTGCTCTTGGAGAAACATGAACGCTTACAACGAATAAGAAGAAGTTGTTCCAGTTGGAGATTGCCATTAAAGCAACTCTATACGGAGAGTTTTTCATTGGCTTTATTGTGTTAGAAGTTTGTGAGGCATACGTCCTTTCCTCACAATAGCTTCTGCACTTTTGCACGAAAGCTGGTTTATTTATTTTGAAAGACATATGTAGTTTGAATTAAACATGTGCACTAATGTGGAGATTATAAGTAGTTATAATTACTTTTATCAGTGAGAGGAAGACTTTACTTCAGAATATGGTTCCTGATTGCAATCGGTAAACAAGGAAGGCAGTTATGCTTGATGAAATCACAAACTATTTTCAGTCCTTGCAGATATAAGTCAAGGTATAATCCAATATTCTATGAAATATTACTTGAAATTTGATTTAAATTCTTCTTAAGATCTGAAAAAGTTGATCTGTTTTTCTTCAGTTATCCATGAAGCTGGCTACTATAAATCTAATGATGGTGTTTAACCGTAATGCTGCTTTATCCATAGAGGTAAAAGAAAATCTGTTTTTTGCTATTATGTTCTTTACCAATAATGTGTTGCTTCTGTATGTATGTAAAGATGATTCAACCGGCGGAGCTAGTCTCTTTGCGCAATAGCTTGCTCAGAGCAAAATCTTCCATCAGGATACTATTCTCTTGTCAAGAACATGCCTAGATTCTCAGACACGCAATTCCTCTCGAGCTGGATTTCTTCAAGCTGATGTAATTAGTAGTTAATGGCATAGATTCTGGTCATGTATTGTAAGCCCCACGTGCTCAACTATTTTTGTGTGTTTATGTCTTGATTTTCAGCCACGGATTATTGGAAAATGATCTGCAAGGCATTGTTCATATGTGTTTTGGAGATGTCCAGCAACAAAGCAACAACAACAGTAGTAAAAGAAAATGTAGAACCAGAATTTCTAAGGTGATAGTTTAGAACCAGTTTCCATACTATTATGTTATTAGGTTCTGAGACAACACTACAGATGAAGCTTGAGCCATTGGTAAGAGCATCTCCAATGGCGAACCCCATTGGAGTCCTTCAATTTTTTATTTTTTTTTGCAGACATATAAAAAAAATGAAAAGAATAGTATCAACCAATCGCGGATCTCCACGTGTCGCGGATTCCCGCAAGTAGTGCAAGGATTCATTAAGAAAGAGTCCTTAAAAATGATTTTAAGGATTGAATACTTAACTTTTTGTGAGATCTACTGATTATTTAATTAATTTTTCTTTAACGACTTCCTTAAAAGACCCCCATTGTACATGCTCTTTAAGAGGTGTTCCATATTTTATACACTCTTCGTCAAATTCAGTTGTTGTTGTAATACTAAGGGCCTCTAAATTTTTACTAACACCGAACCACTTACAAAGCTAATACTTGACGGCCCACTTTTAGAGGCAGCCAGTTAAGCCTTCTAATACTATTTACGAAGTCAAAAACTTGAATTAAAAATTTTAATTTGGTTTGAGTTTGTGTTTTACATACCTTACAAGAAGTGTGGGTGTAGGTTTTAAGTCTTTTAATATATATGGAAACCACAAGTAAAGGGAAAGAAGCAAAGTGATATGCCAGAGTTCTTCAAGTTTCATTTATCATTTTAATCTCATTTTAAAATTTACTCTAACTATATTTCTAAATATTATATTCTAAACACCTAGGTTAGTCAATAAATAAATGCAAGTATAATCTGATATTTGTTTTAGTGTAATCTATAAAATTACATAATTTCAATCTTTATGTATCTTTAGCGTTAGTTTGATTTCAGTTACATTTCAACAAACATGCTAAAAATATGATGTTGGAATTCTCATAGATCAATACTATTAACAAAATTTAGCTAAATAGAGATCGCTTTCAAATAAACAAATGCTTTAAAAAAAAATTGACGAACCTATAATGTGATGTAATAATATAACTATTTTACAAAATAAATGAGAATTACATATTAAAATAAGAAGTATAATGTTTAAAATATTACTTAAACTCATAATTCACATAAATATAAGTCACAATATCTCTTTTATCATTATACAATTCATATGAATCCTATCAGTACTAATGTTACTTTTTTAAAAATAATTATATATTTGTGTCTATCAATTCTAAAATTATAATATTAAGATAATAGAGTAATAATTAAAAGTAAAGTATATCCTGGACGAATCGAGTATAGTTAGATAATGTTTAAACAAATAATTTGAAAACAAAATATAGGTTTTGTGCAACACCAACCAAATATAGTGTAACACTGTAGCAAGGAGGGACTTACACTAAAATGTCGTGGCTTTTCCCGTACGGTTGGAGAGACAAAACTGTAAATGTTGCATTATTTTGCAGTTATACCGTTCGGTTGAAGTTGACCATACAATATCTCAAACCACTATTTTTCTATTGAAAAACTAACTGAGAAGATATAAATGAAATTTAGTGACATAATAAACAAATCTACATGGTTCCAAAACCTACTATTAGTTAAACTTTCCACGTACACAACCATAAT